TCTCTCTCTCTCTCTCTCTCTCTCTCTCTCTCTCTCTCTCTCTCTCTCTCTCTCTCTCTCTCTTCGTCGTTGTCTTCTCTGCAGGTGCGCGCGGCAGCTTCTTTAACCTGCGGATCCGCTATGGCTTCTTCTCCGATGGTGTCTTCAGCTATGGCGCACGACTCTCCCTGCGGCACACAATGATCGCACGTGGAATAGCGGGTACCAGTTCCTATACCAATGCAATCAGACTCGCTATCTTTCACACTTCACATGCATGTAAACAGATTGCGCAACAAACTGGCGACAAGCGCCCACTCAGAAATAAGAGATATGGTAACCAAGAACGCAGTTCAAGTACAAGTTCACTTCAAATGGCTATGGCGGCACAACGCCTGTACAACTCTCTAATCACACGCACAGGATCACCATGGATATCCCACACGCATCCCACTGTACACACGCGCACACACACATGCTACACCCTTCTAACAACTATGGCGGCTATGGCCGCTGCTATCCCTATCGCTATGGCTAAGCTCCTTCTCGCCCACTTCGTCTTCGGGCTCACTGCAGACCACCTCGCACAAGTCGCTGTGGCAGCGCTTCCGCATGGCTTACGCAGGAATGAATGAATGGCTGGGCGCTGCCTCTTGATTTGTACTTTTGTATCTCGTTGGTCTGCCCCTTTCCCATGTCCGTGGTGCACACAGTCCCATGCGGTACTTGCTTGACTGGACTAGGACTGACTGGGACTGGGACTGCTGACTCAGTACGGGTGAACTCCACCACCTGCCCACTTGCCTCAGCCAAAACGTGAGCAGCTTCGAAAGGCCAGTACCAGGATCTTCCGGACGTTCAGTCCTGGCCTTTCGGATACTGTAGCAGCTACGACCTTCACCCTACAGGACTGTAGCAGCTACGACCTTGACCCTTTGGAGGAGCTATATCTACGGCTTCTAGAACTTGCTACGACTCCTATCCGATAGGTCTACAGATCGAACCCCTATACCCTACAGACCTACGACGACCTACCACTGTGGGGAAAGACACAGGTCGTGGGTTCAACTCTCGGGGTGGACACAGATAATGTACACAGGTAAGGTGATGGTCTAGGGATCGGGCCCTGGGACTTGCATCCGCTACTGCGAACACGTGAATACCGTTTCAATTAATTCGAATCGGAACTAATTTATTTTAATTTTTGTTTTGCAAATTTTATTTTTTGGAAATTATCTTCTTTGATAAATCAATTGATGTTGTTCAACCCTTGTGTGAGGAATGAGCCCTCAAGGGGCCCTATCAGACATTGCATGTTCAGGGCTAAGGTCCCAGCAAGCCAAGTGCCAGCCCTAAGTGAAGGCGGGCCTGAATATTCGTCACAGGCCAAAATTCGACATTTCCATATGTGGGTATTCAGGCTCTCGCAGTGAGTCAGTTGGTTGAGTGAACACGCGAGCCTCACTAAGCTGCATCGTACAGTTGGCCCAGGCCACGAAAGTTGCGCCTGGGCATATACACACAAAGCAGGGCCGGTACATTGAGAAGCAGGTCGTCGGCCTTGGGAAA